TCACAGAAGAGGGAGAAATAATAAATATTACAATATTAAGCAGGATAACCAGAAATGACAATGCATAAGTCACACACAACATGAATGACAAAAAAAGCAGTATCTCTGCTGCTCTGCATTAAATTTTTGTGTCTTTGTGCTAGAAAGATAAATGGAGAAAAATAAATGAAAGCTAAATGCAGATCAGAAGATGTAGAAAGGAAGGGGAAAACACAGAACACACAATGATCTGGTTCTGGTTTGTGATCCTGTTCTCTTTCAGATAAATGGAGAAAAATAAATGAAAGCTAAATTCAGATCAGAAGATGTAGAAAGGAAGGGGAAAACACAGAACACACAATGATGTTCTGGTTTGTGATCCTGTTCTCTTTGAGGCCTCTGAGAATGACAGTGCCTACCAAGGCACTCAGGTGCCTTCCAGCTTCCCTCTGGTGATGCAGGAGTGTTTTCCATCAGTGTCTCACCTGACACACAGAGCCAGGCCTGGTCAGTAACTTGCCAGACTGGGTAAACACATTGCTTGCTTCTGTTCTGTGGAAAAAACCACATCACTTTTCAGATGTTAATTAACATATATTAAATAATATACTGGAAAATATGTGGGGCCAGCAGTGTCTCTTCTTGTGGTACATTATTATAATTAGTATTATGTTCAATGGTTGAGGTTTTTGCCTCTGTTAAAGGAATGTACTCTTCCAAGACGAAGGTGAATGAGGAAGCTAGGGTTTTTTTCTTTCCCTGTGCTATCTCTGCTGTCAATAGCTACTCAAAATAACTATGTAAAACCACATCTTTGTCAGATGCATTATCCATCTCCTGTTTCCCATGTCTCACTGGAATGACTGGCATTTAGAGAGGAATTAACTGTCCTTTCAATTACAGGTGGGTCTGCATTTTCACTCTGGTTTGATTAGTGCCCTTACATGGCTTTCCTGTTTGTCCCTGTTTACTGTGCCTTGGCTCACATTTCAGGGCAGCTTCATGTGCCAGGGTCTAGGCTGGTTTCAGATGGAACAGAACAGGTAAGTGTGCTTGAGGAATGCACCAAGTGTTCTCCAACAGGTAATGAGTTTAACCTGCGAAAAACTGTCTGAAATGAACCTCGCCTGAAGATTTAAATTCTCTGCACCAATTGTTTTGCTGCATAAATGTTCATATGTTGGCCTGTTGTACTTCTAGATGTAGCATATATAGATGTGTTGTATCACTGTCTTTGCAATATGGCAGTTGCAAATTTTTCTGTTTTCTTTAGCAATACATTGTGCCAGTCAAGTCTGAGTTCTCTCTTGTTGTAATGTGTGTGAGTTTAGACTGGCAAAGCAATCCTGGGATGGCAGTTGCATTAAAAACAGCCCTAGCAGCACAACTGTGCTTTCAGAACTGTAATTTATTTGGCCTCTGTCAGGGAAAACAAAGGTACTGACATTTATGGTTTTACTTATATAAGTGCAACTACACCTGGATTTTTGACAGCCGAAGATTACGCTCCTGATTCACGTCTGTGTGCTGCCAGCACACAGTGTAGAGAGGAGCCCAGGCTGAGGGACTGCAGCAGCAGCTTCTTAGCTGTAGTTCACACAAAGTGTGTACAACCAAGTGTGCTTTGTTACCACAGATTTGAGTTACAAACATCATGGCTCACAAGAAAAATTACCATGCAGCAGCAGCTGGGGAGAAGCCAGAATGTCTGAAGTAGTTGTCAGTGCAATACTACCACAACTCTGTGAAGTGACTAAGATTGACTTGCAGGGGTGGTTTAACTGGAGGTGATGCACAATGTGCAAACAGCCACGAGGCTGACTCAGAGGATGGGGGTTTTTTTAAGTTTATAAAGAGCAGATAAATATTGCCTATTCCAGCACAGTGTTCTGAACTATTTGGATGACAGGACCTGTAGAAATTAAAGGTTGAAGACTACTATTCTGTCCCAGATAGATTATTTCTTTTATTCTAATATTCCCCCTAGATCAATTGAGTGCATTTAGGAATGCAGGATCTTCAGCCATGGGAATAGTTTTGTTCTATGTATGAAGAATAAGTAAGGGAGGCCTCAGTCACTGCAGGATAGCACCAGCCCAGGTGCAACTGGTGCAGTGCAGTTGAACAGAATGTTCCTTCTGCATGGCTTGTGCAGCCCAATTTGTAATGTGAAGGTCACTTGGTTATGGCCTTATTTTTTCTTGTTCTAACTTCCAGATTTCAATGCAAAGCTGTTAGTTTTTGTTTGACCACTCGGACATCATACCCCTTGTTAAGCAATACTGTCTTTAGAAAAATGTCTGCATTACTGGGAAAGTTCTGCCAGGAGTCTGAAACTTGGGAGAACCATTTGGCTGAAGTATTTCCAACAAGAAAATCAAAAGTCATATGTGATTCTGTAGACAACACAATTTAGATTATGTTGAATCTGTGAATGGCAAGAGCAAGATTAGTAGTTCTGTGGTATCCTTGAGACAAAGAACCTGTCTACTTTGATTATTTTTTGTAGCAGTCAACCACCTGTTTTGACATCTGAGAACTGACCTGAGATTGCTCATGGGGTCCTTTTGACATCTTTCCATGGCTGTGATGTCTGACAGAGATTAGATTGAGGAGAGCAGACTGCAGCAAAAAGTGAAAGACAAAGACATATAATGCAAGCAAATACCAGTTTACCAATGCCACAAAAAAAGTAAAAAGCTGCAGTCCAACTTATATTACTGAAATAAAAGTAATGGAGGCTGAGCAAAACTTGTCTTGCAGCAGCTTTTGCTGTTGGAACAGCACAGTGTGTGCTGCAGTTACTGACACAGGAAGAATATGAAAAAGCCACTGGCTCCACCTAATTTTCATTCTGATGAATGCAGCCTGTTAACTTCATTGGGAAGCTCATAGTTTTGTCTTACAGGCTTGATGGCTGTATTTTGTGTTCACAGCAGTAGTTTCTGTCCAGCCTTCAGTATCTTGTGTGTGAAAATTGCCTTGTCATTAGGAACTGATTTTGTTGCTAATGACCCTTCATGATATTATGGTTAATCCTGATTGCACCATGCAGCTGGACCTGTACACATCTAATTCAAAAGTTGAAGATTTTTATGCATGTTTGACAAGTCTTCCATCAGAAGTCCAGGTGACAAAAATTTTGAGGTGAATTTTGCACCTTATTAGACAGAGCAGATGAGATCAGATCAGGTTTAATTCTCCAGGGGTCACATCAACCTTCTGGTTTAAAAATGTAACCACAATTTGAGCCTTTTTTTAATGAAAACATTGTTTTGTTAATGGATTATTATCCTTTTGTTCATAAAAGTTAGAAGTCTATTTCCCTGTAGTGTCAGTGTCTCAAAGAATCAGCTCTTGAACCACTAATTTAAGACATAGTATTAAGATTCTCTGAAAACAGATGCACATTGGAAAACTAGAACTGATTATTTTTTCATTTTTTAAGCACTGCAGGCATTTTGATTCTCCAGCTCTATGCAAAAATCTGTGTCTGTGTGTCTCATCTGATCCTAACTGAAGCACTGCTGTTCATGTACATATAAAAATGTAACCTGTTTTCTGAATATGGGATCTTCTTACTGCAGTAGTTCAGTGATGCAGTCACATAAATAGGATGCCAATGAGTCACAATACTTGCATTTTTTATAGGCCCTATGAGAGGGACCATCTTCTGTCCCAGTGTTAGCAATCTGAGGTGACCCGACACAGCAAATGCCAGCATCAACTCAGGCTGTTTATTTAATTGTGAGATCTTTTTCCTCAGCTTTGACAGTTGAAGTGTGACGTGAGTGGCTGTTCTGCAAACCGTGGGTGTTTATTAAATGCACATTCTGAAGTGGTGTGTTTTAGCCTTAATAAAAGCAGTCATAATTTAAAAATCACTAAAATAATGGCTTGAGTGCAGAAGCCTGTTACGAGGTATTAAAAATTAGAAACTGCTTTTAGTGGAAACTGTTCAGTTTTTGATGGCAGCTTGCAGTGATTTAAAGCAGTTTCCGTAACCTGATCTTTGTGTTGATGCTGTACCGTGATGTTTTTTCCAAATTATCACCCTATCATTAGATGTGTGGTGCAGTGAGACAAACACAAAGGCGGAAAGACCTAACAGCAGTCTTCTGAGTAAGTTTTAAAAGTTTTTCATAGCAGTATTTGGGGACCTCAAAGACATGAGATCAGTGAAACACTAGAAGATTCTCATGTCCTGAAGTTACACGTGAAGCAAGCACAAACTTACTGTTGGTGACGAAACCAGGATGCAGTATCACAATATTTTGTGTCTGATGTTGATTTCAAACCAGTGAAGGACAAAAGTAACCCTAAAAATAAGTATATTAATAAAAGCTCTATCGCTCACAAGTTATAAAATAATAGAGCAAATTAGGACAGCAAATGTTCATTAACGCTTTAGAAATAATTTTACATAAATTAGGTAAGATGTTTTCAATAATTATTTAGTAATCCTGTCTAAACTCTACAGTCAGATTTGGGACTTGTTCTGTGAAGTGCTTGGTACACAGACCAGCAGAAATGGCCCTACTTTGATTTATCCTTTCTAGGTAAATCAGTCTTGTAGTAATGCTGTAGTTTTGCTGCTTGAAGACACAAAACAGCGTTTGCAGGGAAAAGCGGCTTTTTTGTTGTAGCTGGTCCAGGGTACAGGGGGAAAAGGCCCGAGCGGTGCCCGGGCCACACAAAGGATCCGCCCGCCCCGCCATGGCCCGGGCCCGTGAGGGCGGGCGTCTCTCGCGTTTCTATTGGCGGAGCGCTGTGACGGGCACGGGAACGGGCCAATGGCAGCCGGGATTTCAAATCTGTGACCGCGGAGGCTGCGCACACCATTGGCTCGGCGAGCGCGGGGTCCCGCCCGCGGGCAGCGGAGGGGCCCAGCGCAGGCGTTTAAAGATGGCGGCAGCGCGGAGTGCGGGACGGCGATCGTGAGGCGGCCGGACTCGCCCTCACTCTCACCCGCAGCCCCGGCACTGGAGCGGCGGGGCCGCCGGGGATGGCCCAGGTGGGTGCGGGCCCCGCGGGGTGGCGGGCAGGGCGGGCCTGCGCGGGCACCAATCCCTCCGCCCCACAGGCCGCAGCGCCGGCGGGCCCGCCGCGCTCTTGCCGCCTGCCCGGAGCGGCCCCCGGGCGCGGAGCCCAGGGGAGCCTCTCCCCGAGCACCGACATCCCAGCGCGGGAAGGCGCCGCCCTGCCCGGCCGGTATTGCCGTGCGGCGCTTCCCCTGCGCCCGGCCTGAGCGGCCTCTGTTCAGAGCCGGCGTTTTGTTTTGTTCAGGATTTTTCTTTGGTTGTTTTGTGTTTTGGGGGACTGGTTTTTTTTTTTTTTTCGTTTCCCGCCTACCCCCAGCCACCTCCCTGGGATTGCGTTCGGGATTGTGTTCGGGAAGGAAACGCCATGCGTGTGCCCTCGGCCCCTCCTGCTCCGGGGTGCTGGGGGTACCGGCTGCGGCTGTGCCTCGGCCCGGGTGTGCCCGGCCAAGGCGGGCCCGGCGGTTCGGCCGCACGCAGCCCTCGGCCCGCGGCCCGGAGCGCGTCTCGGTGCGCAGCAGAGTCGGGAAGAAAAGGCACCAACGCGTGTGCGGGCACTGTTTTAGTTCTGGTACATTAAAGGTAACGTGATGTCTCTGTAACTCTCAGGATTCTTCTTAATGTGTTCTTCTATTAATAGCAAATTATCTCCTTCAGCCTCTGAAAGGTTAATTCTCCCAGCTTTCTTCACCTTTCTTTTTTTTTTGGGTTGGAAACAGTTCCTTTTGTACCTCCTTTTCTTAGGCTTCGGGTTTGTCTGCAAAGTTTGTTTGCCCGCTGAGACCTGAATACCCAGGCATTGCTCGACCATAAACTGGAATTGGGTGAACACGTTCAGTTTCTTGTTTCCGTTAGGTTGCGAGTTAGAGGTCTTGGAATTAGATCTTGTATTGTTGTTTTGTGATTTGAGAGGTTGTTCTGTTTGGGTAATTAAACTCGGGGGCTCTTATTCTTAATTCTGGATGAGAAGTTGAGTCACTAGACAGCTCTTTTTGATTATCAGGATTGTTTCGCTATTTTAGAGAAAGAGAAGGGATTTTGGTTCCTTATGTCTCTTCTTTTTCTTTTCAAGTAAGAAGCTTACATATGATAAGAAAGGAAGAATATATTTTCTCTTTCCTAGGCTCTGATTTTTGCCTTTTAAAAATCAGTTTCTTGTCTTACATAATTAATCAAGCCATCTAAACCCTGCCAGAAAACTGCTCAAGCTCTAAAAGCAACTGTTGTTTTGCCATTTCTGAGGATAGCTTTCCAAAATTATGTACTCTGTTCACACTGAAATGGAATAAAGTGATAAGAACTAGAGAATTTCTTGAGCCGTGTCTCTGTTTGCCACTGATAATTGTTGTTGGGCTCTGGCTGCATTTTCTTGGTGTCTTGCTTACACAAAATAAGTGCCTTGGTGCTGACTTGGTGACTGACTTACACAAAGTGGTTGTTTTGTTCAGAATCTTTCTACACTAAAGCTGATAATGAGAAGAGCTGAGTTCTTACATGTAGTATTATCTTAAAGGATATTTTCTTTTGGTACTTTCTGTTCTGGTTTAAAGAAAATCCAGTTTCTTCAGGTTTTGTTTTGGGTTTTAGCAGTGGTAATAAATAGGATTCACTTATTTCTAGAGTTGTATGTGTTGAAAAGATACACTAGCTATAATGAAAAGAAGGTAGATGACTGTGAGTGGGGAATTATTTGACATGGGTTAATGGATCAGCCCCTGAGTTGCCATTTGGCAGAGGACTTTGTATTTGGTTAGCAAATGAGGACAGTTTGCTCTGAGCCACTCTTCCTTTTGGGCTCTGCTGAATGTGAAGTTAGCAGTCTCTGACACAGTTTCTATTCAAAAGTGACTTTTTGAAGAGAGAATCTGTGGTATGCTGTTCCTTGCTGCAGCTACATGTATTTGCAAAGAAATTGTGTTCTTTATTAAATTCATTTCTAGACTGCTGACCTGCTGTAACTGAAAGGAATTTTTCTTTTGAGTTTGGGCAATGCTGAAATGTCCACATTTTAAGATACTGTTTTTTTTCTGCCTTGAAAAAGGATACCCTTTTCTCTGTGTATTTCTCTCCTGTCCCTTTCCTGTCTGATTGTGGGAATGGGCAGTGGCACTTACTAAACAAAGTAGTTTTGGTTTTTTCCTTTCTGCACTTAAAGGACATCTGTAAGACAAGCAGACTAAGATTACTCTGCTTTCTTTGAGGCATGTGTGGTTTGCTATATTACATTTGTACGCCCCCACCCATATCTGCATTGTTTAGTTTACTTTGTGGCATGAAGCTTTTTTAAAATGATTAGCTAAAATAAGAGTAAGCAGTTAAAATTGTGGAAATTCCATGTGCTGGTGATCTGCAGAACAGGAGCTGTGCACTGACGTTGTCAGTGTTTGTACTGCCTGGTGCAGCTGCCAATGGTGCTCTGTCTCTTTGGAAGGAATCCTTATGGAAACTGCTAATGGAGCTTGGTGGAGCCTTGGAGAATAAAATGTTATTTCAGGACAATTCAGTGAAGGATGACAGTAGGAAAGTGACTTATGTTAACTTGGTATGCTGAGCCTTTTTGTGTGTGGCTGTTATGTTCCCTTGTCTGAAGCCCATTTGGCTGTTTGTAACCTACCAGCTCATCTAACTCCTCCTTTTGCCTTTTCTCCCTTCTGTCTTTTCAAATACCTGGTAGCTCAGTGGCTTTGTTGCTTTGTTTTGTTGGGGATTTTTTTCCCAGCCCCTGATAGAAAGGACATACTGTAATGTCAGCTGGCAGGGAAGTAGATGGGAATTGGACCTGTGTTCCACTGCTTCTGCCTTGCTTTTTGTGGCTTATAGGCAGGTATTGTAGCCCACTGGAACTGTACAGCTACTGTTACCTGTCATCAAAAGAGAGAAAAACCCTTGTTTTTTAGTGTTAGAATAGTAACAAACAGACCTTTCTTCGGAGGCTTTCAGGTGTCTGGTCATGATGGGCACACCTGGCACCAGATTTCTACTATTACAGGGTTAATTAATTAGGATATAACAGGTGCATCCAGGAGATTCAGCTGCTCCTGTAACCCATGCCTGGACCAGCCCCTTGGAGTTGGCCCAAGGGTTCTCTGTCCACTTATTATGTCTTACTGTAGGTCCCCTACTTAGAATAAGACTAAACAATATTCCAGGAATGTGTTTAGAAGGTCAGCTTATTGTTCTAAAATCTAAGGGAAAGGGTAGGAAAAGTACCAGAGTTAATTAAGACTCTATATATTATAGTAGTCTAGAGAGCTGCAAATACATGAAAAACGTATAAAAAGCAAAAATCTTTTTGGCATCAGTACCAGGCTGTTATCTTACCCTAGGGATGTGGCAGAATCATGGCTAGAAATGGAAAAAGCTCATTTGAACCCTTTTCCTGAGGCAGTGTGTGCTGAGGAGCAGACAATCCCTGGCTGTTCATTGTTCAGCTATTCATCGTTTCACAGCCAGCAAGAAAGGGAAGACAACAAGAATGTGATTGTTACCAGGGCTTGAATAGAATACCCAGACATCTTTCCTGCAAAGAGCAGAGGTGTTGTATCAGTGAATTACCCAAGCTGGGCAGGTGAAGGTTATGTTTTGACATTGGTGTTATTAAAACTCTTTAGCATAGGAGCAGGACACGTGTCAGGGGTCTGGAAGTGGCATTCACAATCTTGTCTTAGCCTTGTCAAAAATAAGTCTTTCTTGTTGGACCAGGGAGCTCTAGGAGCAGGACACGTGTCAGGGGTCTGGAAGTGGCATTCACAATCATGTCTTAGCCTTTCTTGTTGGACCAGGGAGCTCCTTGAACACAAGGGAAGGCTTTGCTCTTTCAAATTCTAGAATGCTGACTTCAGTATTCCATTTCTGTGGGAATTTGGCTTACTTTTTTCAAGGGTCTTTAGAAGACTCTTTAAGATGGAAAAATGAGATGACTTAGGCATTTAGTTTCCAGGAGTTACTGAGCTCATGCTGTGACTTTTGATTCTTTTGTTCAGAATTAAGACACTAATGATTTACTGTGAAAAATTTAATAATTTGTCATTCACTTTACTTTTTACTTTTTTAATCTGAAGAGGAGGAAATCTATAGACAAATTCATCTCTGGGGATGTGCTCTACATTATACATTCCAGAACCTGTTGAGAGATGAAGGAATTGGTCATTGTATTGAGGTCACCTTGTAGGATAGAATGGAATTAGATAGATAGACTTGATTGTCTTACTACTAAATGAACCATTTACCAATCTGAGAATTAATGTGTTAGTATCAGAGAAGATGAGATTATTTTAGAGTTCTTACCAGGTTTTTTCCGTATGGTCATTGTATTGAGGTCACCTTGTAGGATAGAATGGAATTAGATAGACAGACTTGATTGTCTTACTAATTGTAATTTTATAATGCATGTCAAACTCAGTGTGTTGGATGTGTCACAATTTTGAGTAGATTTAAAAAACCCTACAAACATCAAAAAGACACCACAAAATATGAATTCCTCTGCTGCCCCAGCAAAACTTGCTTTGTTGCCATATTAGAGTTTGCTCTATATTATGCTTTCTTCCAGCTTCCAGGTAGGTAACTTCTGCATATTGCTGAATTTTAATTGATCCCATTACAACTTTCAATTGCCAGCTTTGTGCCTTGCCCCAGTTGGTGTTTGGATATTGCTGTTGGTTTGTTCTGCCTGGGCTGGCATAGGGATACATGAGAGAATTACCCTAATTGCCCTTGGTTTCTCTAAGTCCCTCATGACAACCCAGACCTTCTGCCCTGTTGCCTTCAATGTTACACAGCAACATGAGAGATCTTGGAGCTTGTCTTTCCAAAATACTTGGGGAGATTTTCTCTGCTAGCTGGGAGTACTTTGAGCAGAGCAGATTCATCCAGCTGACTGCTTGGGGCAGAGTGGCAGTGCTTCATTTCTAGCTTGTAGGAAGATTTAAGCCTAGTTTGGGCTGGCATGGAGAGACTTGGAGAAACCAAAATAAGCAGGTAAGAAATGATCCTTCTTTTCCCCAGGTGCTTATGGTCCTGAAGAGATGACAAAAGTATAATTGAAGGAACCACTAATGTGAAAAATAAGCCTTAAACACTCCCCATGCCCTGTAAAATTTCCTGGAGGAGTTGAATACTTTCTCCAGGTTAAATTCCCTAAAACATTCTAACTTCTAAATACCTTCCAAAATTAATTTGAACTTTAATGCTGTGTATCTGAACCTGAATTCCTTGGACATAATGAATAAATAGTTCTACAATAGTGCAAAATACAAGATCAAATGTCTAATATCTGGTTATCTAGAGAGTAATTTTCTGTGGTATTTTAGTAGATTGTGAGATTTCAGAAGTAGGCGATAACTTAAATTTTGAAAAGCCATGACCATAGTCTTTAAAATCTTGTTGGTTTTGCAGATTGTCTTAAACTGTAAGCTAATTATCCTTTCTGCTGTGTGGGTAAGTATGGCTTAAATATCAGCTTGTTTCAGATTATGGGAGAATTTCCCCAAAATGCAGTTTTTAGTATGTCATGCTTAATGCCCTGCCTGCTAACAAAGCAGAGGTAGTCAACTAATCATAAAGGTATCTGTGTTAGTAAATTCTTGTGCTGGTGTACAGCTTGAGCAATAAAACCACTCTAGTTTTGGCCTCATTCATTCAAGATGGTATCTGGGTACCCTGCTTTTCTCACTGTAAAAGTGTCACTCTTCTACTTGAAATTTATGCTAGAAGTAGTGACAAGTTTTCTTTCTGCTTGGGATACTATTTCCATTTTTTTCCCGTAACCCTTTTTTTTTGTTTGTTTGTTTGTTTCCTCTTGTAGGTTGAAAGAAGAAAAGGAGACCAGCTTGTCCAGTGAAGATGCACTCTTAGTCTTCAGCTATTTAAGCTGAATGCATTGTGATTTCCAATAATTGAGACAGTGATTCTGAAAGCTGTCTACATTAATGAAAAGAACAATGTAGTCAGCTTAACTGAATCATCAGTGTTGCATATTGAATAGGACATGATAAACCAATCCTGATGGACTTACGCATGTTAGGAAAATAGGGATAAACATTTCTTAAAGCATTGTTTTTTTTAAAACAGTAGTTTTAAAAATGGAGAACTATGAAAATGTACCACCCCTCCCTAAAGAACCTGCGAGAGAAATGAATGTGGAGAATCACACTTGTCGGCCACCTCTGCCGCCCAACGAACAGCCTCCACCACCTCCCCTGCAAACGTCCAGTGACGCAGAGGTAATGGACGTTGGCTCTGGTGGTGATGGACAGTCAGAGACCCCTGCTGGGGACACGAACAGTCTCTGCAGAACACAGCTGCTCACAAAGGGATCTGCCTGCTACAAAAGTCGTCTTATCGTAGACCCCAACAGTAGTGACCAAAGCCCCAGAACCGCTCGCCACGCGCCGTCAGTTCGAAAGTTCACCCCAGATCTTAAGTTACTGAAGGATGTGAAGATTAGTGTTAGCTTTACAGAAAGCTGCAAAAGCAAAGATAGGAAAGTTCTGTACACTGGAGTTGAGCAGGATTATAAGGCAGATACAGAGTTTGGTATTAATAATGTCAATGGGGATTTGCATGTTTGTCCTTTTGGTGGTAGTAATGGTAAAGCTGCAGGGATAGGGGGTGAAAGTGATGACAAGAAGGATGATGAAAATGATATTGATCAGGAAAAGAGAGTGGAATTTGCAGTTCTGGATGAGCTAGAAGACTTTACCGACAATTTGATGGAAATAGATGAAGAAGGAGGAGGGTTCACATCTAAAGCAATCGTTCAAAGAGATAAAGTGGATGAAGAAACCTTGAATTTCTCCTATGAGGTAAGTAAATCCAGAGATCTTTGCTGGGTAAGAGGTTTCCAAGTGGCTAGAAAAAAATATTCAAAGAAATAATCTCTTCTAAAAGTGTGCAGTACATGAGTCAAAACCACAGAATTTTTAGAGACAGACCTTTGGCTGAGAAACTCTGTGCTGTTTTAGTCAAACTTCTGAGTTGTGTTGCAGCTTCTGTAGTTTTCTGTAAAATCAGCCTTTTAAAGTCTTCTCACACAATTGCAGTTCATTTTACCATCATAAACTTATTTTCTTATTTTTCAGTCTCTTTACTGGAATCATTGGAAATTTCTAGTTTCTCTCTGTGCGGAAGTGCATATAAAAAAATGTCTGCTTTCTCTTTGCAAGGGAAAAGGGAGGTTGGTAGGCCCAGAAGGATAGTGTCTGATGAAGTCTCTTTCAGGATGACTTTGATAATGATGTGGATGCTCTGCTGGAGGAGGGTCTTCGAGCACCCAAAACAAGGAGACTAGATAATGAGAAATACGGTGGTGAAAGTGATCACCAGTCTGATGGAGAGACAAGCGTGCAGCCCATGATGACCAAAATCAAAACTGTACTGAAGAGTAAGTTAATGTGCATTTAATAACTGTAGGCCCTGTTCATGGCTCCTGTCTGTAGAGCAAAAGAACAAGCAGAGTGTGAGACAGCAGTTTGTGTGAAATCATTAATGTGTTGGAGAATTTTATTGTTGGGAGGCTTCTTATTGTGGAATATGATTTTTCACGTTCTTAAACAGTGAATTTCACTTTTGCTTTTGATCTGTTGTATGTAACAAGAATATATTTTAGTGTGTGGATTTGTGTAAAATAATGAGGTGAAGAAGGATGATCTAGGGCTTTTGTCTGGACATTCTGGCCTTTTTCCTGCTTCAGTTACATAACTTCTGCTGTTGAAATTGCCCCATTTGAGGTCTCTATGAATGCAATCTAGGTTAAATATAATAACTAGAAAAGTCTGTGGCTTACATGTATCCAATTTCATTGTGTTAGAAACTACTAATAAAGAAAAGCTGAGAACAAAAACCCATCCAGAAGAATGTAATGGAAAATATTCGGAATTAGAATTAAAACTTAAATATGTACTAGAGGAGTATTTTACAGCTTCACTGTATTCTGAAATTTAAAAAAAAAAAAAATTGCTTCAAAATTGTGTAGTAACAGAGGATTGCTGGGAAACTTCCAGCAAAGATGAATAGTCTGATTTGTTATTTAGAGAGACATGAGACCTTGGCTTAGTGATGAGCCCTTTGCTGGCTGTTTGGGTCTGTGAATCTGGTGGTATTTCGATGCAAATTTATTCCTGAGTGTCAAATGAAAATTTTTTAATGGGAAATGAAGTTGTTTCTGAAGCAAGTATGACTTTTCCAGTAAATACTTTCCAGTGGTGCTTGTGATAAGTATAAAAAGACTAAAGAAAAGAGAATTCAGTGATGTAACAAACAAATCAGTCTGTATAAAAATTATTGCTCCTATTGCCTTTAGTTGAGAACATCATGGAATCTCTAATTTTGTGGGATTTATTCTGGGTTAGAGATATATACCTTGTTATTAATAATGTTTTGCACAGAGATGTTGTTTTAATCTTGTTCAGTGCCATTTTATTCTCTGGGACAGAAAAAGCAATAAATAAAAGCCTGGATTTTATTTCTGTTCTTCTAAGCAGTCTATCCAAGTTTAAAGCCATTATTTGCTTTAAAGGTCGTGGCCGCCCTCCTACAGAACCTTTGCCAGATGGATGGATCATGACATTCCATAATTCAGGCATTCCTGTATATCTGCACAGAGAATCTAGAGTTGTTACCTGGTCTAGACCTTATTTTTTGGGAACAGGAAGCATAAGGGTGAGAGCTGTCAATTTTTAAAATACTTTACTGCAATTAAAAAATTAGTTATGTTCCTGTAAGCAGTTGAATATTTTTCTGCTTTGGCAGGCTTGTTTCCAGTGTTTGAACTAAGATCCTTGAAAAGTAAATTTTTTTTGTCTGAAATCTGGTGTGGTTTTTCTTAGGTGCTTTGTTTTACTGTTTGGGCAGTTAAAGTGAATGAGATTATCTTGTTTGGTGCCTTCACTTTTCTAGTATGGCTGCAAGATTGGGGGTTTATTGCACCATGACTTATATCTAGGGATCATTTATTTGTAGCTATAAATTAATCTGAGCTGTAGCTTATGGTCCACATTTGCAGAAGTAAGGATATGACATTCTTGCACCCAAGGAATCTGCAGAAATTGGATTTAATGCCATGGGCCTATGCCTCAGTAAAGCTCAATGGATTTTATGAAAGCATGGAGTATTTGCATGTAGCTGAACAGATTGTAGTCTGGAGCTAAACCAGCAGGATTGTCAGTGTCACACAGTGTGAAGGTCCCCCAGGAGTGGCCCTGCTCAGCTCTTGAGGAGAATGATTTTACTAAGCTTGAGCTTAGACTGAATACAAATGGCTTCCATCTTGCTTGCATCTTTTGGGTTTGAGTTTTGCTTTTTTAACCTTGAGATATTGAAACCTTCTGTATTATTTATATTTGCAGAAACATGATCCTCCCCTTAGTAGCATTCCTTGCTTTCATTACAAAAAAATGAAGGAAAATGAGGAAAGGGAACAAAACAATGACATAACCCCAAATGGGGAAGTATCACCTGTAAAGCATCTAGATAAATCCTCAGAACTGGACTGCCAAACAGAAGAACCAGATTCCACTGCTGCTGATTCTGGGCCTTTAGATGACAAAGACCCTTCTGGGGGAGATGCAGCACAAGGAGCTTTGGGACAAGTTAAGGCCAAAGTTGAAGTGTGTAAAGATGAATCTGTAGGTATGTACGGGAAGTAGAGTCTTTTCTTGACTTGAGTTGGGGTAATGGCATTTGGGAGATTTTATTCCAGACTTGGCTACTGAATTAGAATCTTTCCTGAAGCCCTGAAAGTCCACATGGAAAGCTTTTACAAAAAAGTGAAGATTTTGGTAGTTTAGTCCTGTAGACTTCATCTCAATACAAGAATCAGTTATGTCAGTGTATTCATTTGCTGTTGTCAAGTATGTTCATGTGACTTCCTCAAGGAGGGCTTTTCTATGCACTCTCTGTATTGGCTGAGTTCTGTTTACTTTCAGGATGATCTCTTAAGATAAATGAAGTAGTTGAACTGTATTTCTGTATTTGCACAAGTCTAGCAGACTTAAGTCATGCAAATATAATTGCTCTCATACAGAGGGGTGTGATGCTCCATTATTTTATTTATACAAATCTGGTAGCCTCTACACAAAAAGTTGTCTAAAGACATCATGCCAAAGTCACCACCCAATGGAGAGGAACTTGAAGAGGAAGCTCATGTGTTAGTTATTGAATCTTACCACATCTGCATACCTAAGAATCCCATCCCTGGAAATTTCTGCTGCTCAGAGTATGGGTGTAGGTCATAGGCTGCCATTTGTCTTTGTAGTGCTCAGACATAAAACTTGTCCTTGTCATTACCTGTGTCATGTCCAGTTCAAAAACCGTGCCAAAGGATGTAAAAAAAAACCCCAAATAATCAATATTTAGCTGCAAAATTCAAGCCAGTAAGCACTTAATTTTCTACATGACGTTCACCTGTCCACCTCTCTTTAAATAGGATCTGTTCTGAATTACTGAAAAAGATACTGAATGATAAAAGTGTGACTTGCATTTGGAATTCCTTGTGGAAGGAAACAATGCCAGCAGCTTGCTTTTGTTTGTTTACATCTGTGGATGCTACTCTTCATTTTTGCTGATTATATTTGCAGACTGTCCTATAAAGGAGAAGCAGCTGTACTGAAAGGGGGCAATCTTTTAGTGCTCTGTATGTGAATTTAATGTGTTAAATTCTGCACAGAGGCTGCACATACCCATGGAGTTCATGGAACATCACTGTACAGTGTTTCATGGTACATTACATAGTAGGTAGGCAGCAGCAGTTGGGTTTGGCTTCAGGGAGCTGAGGCTGAAAGCACAACTACTGTACTCACTGTGTACCTTGCTTCAGGTAGAGGGAAGGTGATCAGGTGTTCAAGCAGACCAGTTACTGCTGTTTTCTTGCACATTGTGTTGGGTGTTAATGCTGGTTAGGGATTAGTAAAATCACCAAGTGACAGAATAAAATGGTGGTTTATTTTATTTTGTTTTCTGGTTTGCACTAACATTTTGCATTCAATCTAAATTAATACAATAGGAGAACTTCAGATTACTTGTTAGTCCAAAACAACATCTTTAACCTTTTACTCCAAGTCTAAGAAAATAATTACAGCTCGTTTAAAACAGTGGGTATAGAGACCTTAATGCTTGTTCAGTGGTGAAGCAGAGAGAGTAACTTGGTTGTGTTTCCCAGATCTGGAAGATTTTAGACGCTATCTGGAGAAGCGTTTTGACTTTGAACAAGTGACTGTAAAGAAGTTCCGGACGTGGGCCGAGCGACGCCAGTTCAACCGCGAGATGAAGCGGAAGCAGGCGGAGTCCGAGCGGCCCATCCTGCCGGCCAACCAGAAACTCATCACCCTGTCTGTGCAGGATGCACCTATAAAGAAAGGTGAGCTGCTCCAGCTGCACTTCAGGCTGCCTTGAAGGCTAATTGCAGCTCTGAGCTTGGCTGAAAATAAATCCTGTAATAAGTCCCCCTAATTCCTGATCCAATATTTTGTATTCTTTGACCCATTGTATGTTACATAGGAAAGGAAAAATATTGTCAAAATATACTTCCTATTGAAAAGACTAATTTCTAAACAACATTATTTAAGGCTACAGTCTTGGTAAGTAATGACTACCTCCAGCTCGTGAGGAGTACTGCTGAGTGTTGCTCAGTATTGATTTGTTTGTCACAGAAATTATCTTTCAAAGACTGGAACTAATGAGATTCTTCCCTTCTTCCTGTCTTTTTTGCAGAGTTTGTCATTAATCCCAATGGGAAGTCTGAAGTTTGCATCTTGCATGAATATATGCAACGAGTCCTAAAGGTTCGCCCTGTTTACAATTTCTTTGAATGTGGTAAGTCTGTTTCCTTAAACAACTCTATCCTGGTCTGTGTGCTTAATCAATAATCCAAAAATGTTGTGTATTTGAAAAATAGAACTGGAATTAGGTTAATATTGGTTTTTTTTCCCCTAAGTGGTATAATGTATGTTCCATTAATTCTTTTTTTTTTCTGTTTGTTTGGGGTTCTTTTGAGGGTACCTTATAATTATTGAGAATTATGCTATTCCTGTATACGCAGTGTATAATACAACTGAAATTTCTATATCAGAGTGTGTAGCTCTTGTATTCACACCATGATGCACAATATTTGGAATTAATATTTGAGTTTTGGCAGATTACCAGTGGTCTCTTAAAATCTGTAAGAGTTGGAAGAGTGGAGTATATGGTGGTTAAGTCTGTTAATGGAAAACTCTGTCAGTTAAACAGTTTTTCAGTCTTCATGAAGAATACACCATTTTCATCCCTCTTGAAGCTGAAATTAAGAAAACAAGTCTTTGTAGTGGTGATATTTCATTTATGTCAGGAGTACCAGAAAGCTTTCTTGACTTTGCTCCTCCATTTCCAGAGAACCCAAGTGAACCTTTTGGAGCCTCAGTGATTATTGATGGAGTAACCTATGGGGCAGGAACTGCCAGCAGCAAAAAACTTGCCAAGAATAAAGCTGGTAACTTATTTTTCTTTCTCAGTACCAACTGCTGAATTGTTTCTGTTTGCTTTTTGTACTATTCTGGAGTTCCAGGTGCCATAGTGATTCAGTACTGGGGTTTGGCTGTAAGAACTAGGGGGTGATAATAACTCTTTTATTTTTGGTGTTAAAGGCTCTATGTCACTTCTAAAATGAGACTAGAATATTTTTCCTTTCGTAGGCACTTTTAAAAAGTAGTTTCTTATTTTAATTAGTTATCAAGCTGAACTAGTAGAACTTTTTTTCCCTTGAAAAGCATAACTGAATAAATTTCTTACCAGAAGAAAATGCCTGACAATTTTAGATGAGATGTTTCTGTTTAAAATAAACCTAATCAAGATGTTTAATCACTTTCTGCAGCTCGAGCTACACTGGAAATCCTTATTCCTGACTTTGTTAAACAGACCTCTGAGGAGAAGCCCAAAGACAGTCAAGAACTTGAGGTACTGAGCTCTTGCTTCCTGGCTGGAGTCATTTGAGTTTTTGAAACATTGCATATTTAATATCAGAAATGATACTGAAAATTAGTAAGATTATTTTCTCAGTCAAATGGAAGTGTAAAATCCTCCATTTAGAGCAAGACTTGGGGCAAAGAAAATACTACTTTTTCTATGGGAATAGATCAGAAAATTCACTCTGATGCAGAGAGCTGGTTCTTTATTGACCAACAGGTCACTTACTGAACACCTGAGGTGTTCCAAGGCACCAGGCTGCCTGTTCTGCCCTGCCTTCCAGAATTCTCTGGTTGCTGCCAGGAAATGTTCAGACCTAGGTGCTGTTTGGTTTTGTGTGATCATCTTAGGACACCATGTAAGAAGTAAAAGTGCTCAGGCTTCTGAGATGTTTTTATTACCACACAGTGAAATTCCATAGTTTGGGCAGTGACATTTGAGAAAATCAAAGGAAAAAATTCTTTAAGAGGAGAGTTGTGCTATTTTCTCAGGTACTAGGAGAATTAAATAGTTCATTGATCAGCAATACCATCAGTAAGGAGTAAAGGAAAAATCAGTGATCAGCATGAGAGGAATGTTTCCTAAAATGAAGTAATATACAGGAGTTGTTTGTACCCTTGCTTTAACTTAGAGCTGTATTGTATGCCCTGCACTACTGAAATGGTCATTAAAGATGTGCAGACAATTTTTTCCATTCTTTTAGAATAAAATACCATCTATGCCAATAGCTGTTCTGTTCTCTTTTAGTAAACCACAGCATTTTGGTAAATAGAGTTTCATAATTTGCTAAAATAACCTTGTCCTGAGGGAGAAATTATGATAAAGAATTCATAAGATTGTAATTTTTATGTACATATTGAATAATGTAAGATTGGAGTTAGAAATTTCTCTCTGCAAATGTTTGATTAGCTGGGACAGTTTTAGTGATGTTGCTTTTAAACCATTATAGATTTAAAACCACTTTTTAAACTACTAAGCACAGAGCAACAGAATTGGTTTAATGTAGCAAAGGAGAAATTAGGGTTAAGGACAGTATTAGGGTTTTACTTGCACAAAGCACCATAACCCTTTTCAATTCCTTTGCAGTATTTTAACCATATCAGTATTGAGGACTCACGGGTATATGAACTCACCAGTAAAGCTGGGCTCCTGTCTCCATATCAGATTCTCCATGAGTGCCTTAAAAGGTGAGGCTGCAGCCTGGGACCCGTGTGTGCTCTGAGGGGCTGGCTCAGGAGCACTGCTGCTGGTGCTCAGAGACCCTGCCTGAGCTGCTCAGCTCCCTGGGCCTGTGAGACCCGTGGGGAACGACCTGGTTAATGCTGAGTCCTCTTGAACTCACATTTGCTGTTTGTGCCTCTTTGGAGATCAGGATGTAGTTGCTGGACAAATGTATTTTGTTTTCTCTCGTACGGGGTTGCTTTTTCTTTTGACTCGAGTTACTGATGTAAAAAAATCTTTGTTAATTAATGTATTGTCATTTATTATTAATAGACCTAATTTCATTGCAATGACTGTCCAAGATGATAACTGCAACCACTTCACCTGTTTGTAGTTTTACTTAGTATGTGATCTTGATTGTGTTTGTGCTTAAGAAACCACGGAATGGGTGATACATCCATAAAGTTTGAAGTGATTCCTGGGAAAAATCAGAAGAGTGAATATGTCATGACTTGTGGCAAGCACACAGTGCGAGGCTGGTGTAAGTACAATAATCGATGTGTGAATTTTCTCTTCCTGTTCTCCTTTGTGTCCGTTCTGAGGGTGCTTCTTCAGCCACTGAGCCTGTTGTGTGCTTGTCATGCTCTTCTCTGGTATCAGTTTTGACTAACTCAAGTGAATATTTGTGGCTATCATCACATAATGTGCTGGTATTGACACACTTCCATCGTTATTGTTACAGGCAAAAATAAAAGAGTAGGGAAGCAATTGGCTTCTCAGAAAATCCTTCAGCTACTGCATCCACATGTGAAAAATTGGGGCTCTCTCTTGCGAATGTACGGCAGAGAGAATAGCAAGCTGGTTAAACAGGTGAGCAGGCCTTTGTTTGAGTGTAACCTACCCTGTGACTGGAGTTTTGCTTCTGGATTTTCCTGGATTTGAAAATTAATTTACAACAAAACTTCAAGGGGCCTGGATTTCATTGACAGTAATTGTGTTAATCTTGCATCTCCCATGTCAAAATTCAAGAACCTGTTTAACTAACTCATGGAAGTAGATGTTCCTACTTCAGGAAGTAAACTAATTACAGACTAAACTACAGAAACACAACAGACTAAGCTTTGCTCCACGTACATTAACTTTTTTCCATAAAAGAAGTTGATCAGTTGTTGCTCATGATTCTGTTGAATAGGAAACCTCTGATAGAAGTGTGATAGAACTTCAGCAGTATGCCAAAAAGAACAAGCCAAATCTGCATATCCTGAACAAGTTACAGGAAGAAATGAAGAAACTGGCCCAGGAAAGAGTGAGTATATATTCTCATGTATTTCCAAACTGCATGAATGTCATGGGTCACATGTACCAACGATCAGGGTTTTTTTGCTTATTTGACACAGTTTTCAGTAAAGAGAGCTCTTCAGATTTTGACAGAGGGTCTGCTTCTGGGGAGATTGCCATGCTGTCTTTTAAACTGGCTCTTAACTTGATTGTACCTACTTCTGTATGTTTATTTTTGACATTAGCCTGAGTTAGCCTCTTGCAACAACTGACATGTTTGGCTGAAATGGTTCAGAATTTTAACTGTCTTGTGATTTTATTGATGACTGTGTGGCGGGGGCTGTTTTGTGTTTTTTAGGAGGAAACCCGAAAGAAACCCAAGATGACAATAGTGGAATCAGCTCAACCTGGTAGTGAACCTCTCTGTACTGTTGATGTTTAATGAGAAAACGTGCAAGTGGGGAGCAATAACACAAATGGAGGAACTAGATTTTCAACAATTATTTAAAAATTGTTTGCTGCAGAATGCAAGATAACTTTTAAAATCCAAGCTGCTTCAGTTATGCATTGTTCGTTTTGCATCATCAGGGCAATATTACTTTTTCCTAGTTTCTTTTTCTTGGTTTTTTTTTTTTCCTTGTTTAATACCTCTGAGATATGTACGTTTAAAGAATTGATCATAAAGATCTCTACTGGGGCAAATGCACAGAGGACAGGCATGTTCACACAGGATAAAACCAATCAAGCACTTTCTCCTGGAAAGCCATCCATGTTGTTTGAAATGGATGTATTTTAAGTATGAAAATCAGAATATCTATGTACAGGTTGAAGCTGATATTATATATATACACATTCATATATATGTATATATAAAAGAAGTATATGTACATCTTCTTGTATGAACATGCCTAAAACTATTTTTGTGAAAAGTTGTGTTGCATTTCAGCACATAATAATATGCACTGATAAGACACTTTGGTGACAAATACAGGAAAGTGATGAGCAATGTTTCTAATGCCATAGGATTAGGCCAGTAAAGCTGTTTCTTTTTGTCTTGTTTCTTGTCTCCTGCCAGGCTTAGTTATTTGAGATTAGAGGATGCAGATTTTGTTATTACTTGAAAAGAACAAGAATACCTGGTAGTGTTAAGAGTAACAGGTTGGAGATTCAAAATTACTGAGGTTTATTTTAAATGAAAAGAGCCTGTGTTAGTTTACAGATCAGTTGAACAGGGAAAATATGGCCCCACATCTATGATTAAAATAAAAACTGTAATTTGAAAGGCTGTTTTCAAAGCTTGGAGCCAAAATGCAGCTGATGATGGTTGAAAGTCTGAAGATATTTTGCCAATGACTTTCCACTCCCTTTTCCCAGCAATAAAACAATTTCTCATTTGTTTGGTGTCAGATTGCATCTGACTTGATCAGTTAAGTCTTAATTAATTTGCACCATAAAAGCAAAGACTTCAGAAAAAAAAAATCAACACAACCCTTAAGTCCGACTGCAGCAATTTAGATTTTTTTAAGAAGTTTTTGTTTTTACTTTTTTAATTACATTTTTAGTTTTTAAAGAAAGTATGTAACTTCTGCAATGAAAATTAGAATGTAGATTTGGAATATGACATAGAGTAATAAGTAGAATGAGACCATAACCGGTTATACTCAGAAAATCACAAATATGCAACTACTCTGAAATACAATCCTGGCAAACAGGCAGTACTCACTGTGTCATCTGAGGCTTTACCAAGCCAAGCACAAAAGAAATAGTGTGGCTGTGTGGAAGCACTGCTTCGTGGCTTTCGTTCTTCACACGGGGGTCACTGGGGGGCTGCAGGAATCTTCTCCTGCAGCCAGTTTTGGTTTGCTCTTCAAGAATAGAGCAAGAGCCAAGCTGGTGGCAGGGCTGCAGTCACTTATCCAGGAGCTGCACTGCTCCATTTTTACACTCCTCTGCTCCTGTTGGGAATGAAAGGTCAGTTCTCTGTACCTGCTGCAGCTCCTGGTACTTATATTGACAGGGATCTGGGGGCTTGAGGGGTTTTTTTTTGTTTTGTTTTTAATCTGATTTTGGTGTGGTTGTTTTTTAATTTACCATGTTACATAGAGAGTGCTGCAGTATATTGAATTTAGTGCCTACTGGATTTGAAAAATGTTGGCATCAGTATTGTAAGACCTCCTATTAACATCACACATTACTTTGGAAATATGTGGATTTTAATTTATATTTCAAGCTAATGTTCTCTAATGTGTTGCATGTAATGTTAGAGGTTAAACAGGACGAGTCACGGAGTCTTACCTGTTTCTGAGTTTAAATGATACACTTGGAGGTCTCTGCAAATATAATCAACCCATTTTTTTATTATTATATTTAGTTTTTTAGTTCCATGAGTTGTAATCCTGATACAACAGGATACGGGTAGTTGGAAGACAATATATAAACTATTATTTAAAGAAGTGGCCTGTCTTAAAAAAAAAAAGAAAAAAAAACCACAAAAAAACACTGCCTCTGCTTTTTTTTTTGTATAGCTTTAATAAATCTCCATCTTTTGAAGGGTATATAATATTGGTGCAGTAGTGACAAGCAGTGATTGCTGTTTGTCTCTTTCCATTGTTTTTATTGGGACTTTTCTGTTTTCATAAAGACAGGGCTTTTATCTTCTATGCCTAAATGTATTACTCTTAGATAGCTTTTATTTCAGCTTGTGTTTTCAGCAGAAAAATCTGTACTTGGATGGCACTGTAAAAGACAAATCACCCTTGTAGATCTTTTTATTTTTCTGAAATCAGAATGTCAATGCATTTGCAGGTCACCTGCAGAATATCCATAGATGCCTCACTTACCAATTTGTTTTCATTAATTTTAAGAGGATTGCTGTATTACCTCAGTCTGCCACTATCAGAATCACAAGGTGACCATTGCCCTTAATTAAAACATCCAGAGATTTCATTGTGAACCAAAGCCTAGAACGTATATTATGCATTCTAAAGAAAAACAAACATAAAAAGATGGTATTAGACCTTGCTGCAGCCTTTAACTGGAGAGATGTCCAGAAAATAGCGCAATAACTGCTGGAACAAACAACGTAACTGCTGTTTGTGTCATTGTGGAGTATTCTTGTGTTTTAATGTTTACTATTGTTTGGAGTGTAACAGTCTTGCATTTGCACATGAGCACGAGCTGCTGTGATAGAGGATAGACCATTGCATTAACTTCAGCTTCTGCATGAACACTTACAGTGTGATTCAAGATGTATCCTAAACTTGTCTTGTAACTCTTGTGTGTTTTCTAGGTAATCGGCTGTAAAGGTTTAGATCTGATTGTATGAATGCATAAAACTGCTGCTTTTGTCACTGATACTTGTTATTTATCCCTTCTGTAACCAGGGGAAGATGGGTATTTTTCTAGGGATGGAGTGTATTTTTAAGAACTGTTCCATCCTTTGGGGATTAGACAGATTTTGCTTTGCATATTATGTGCTTCTCGACAAAAGTGTGGTATATTGACTTTAAGGATGAAATTCGTGTGCATTCAAATCTTCATGGTACTGACGGAAAACTTACTGTGACTAGTCAGATGCTACCTACTGAAACACCAGGCATCAGCTTTTCTGAACATATTTATTAGACAAAACTGAATTAGTTGGGTACTCAGAACTTTGGAAAGACTATTATGCATAAACTTAACTGTTGTACGTAAACTTCCATTCTCCTGTGATGCTGTTAGGCTTTATACAAATAATATTTGTAACGTCCAAGTATTTAAAAGCATCATGATTATCTTACTAATTCACTAAACTGTACTTTGGTTCTGGAGTGAAATTCAGGAAGTGATAGCCTCCTAACTTTGTGGGAAGAAAGAAATGTGACGTGCAAGAAGCCATGCTGTTATTAACCAAATAAAATTATCAGTGACAGTATTTCAATGTGTATCTGAGAACATGGGAAACAAAACAAAGTTTATCCTTATTGCCCCAGCAGGTAACCATGGTTGCTGTTTTGAGTTGTGTTGGGTGCAGTTGCTTGGTGCCAGTGCTGAATTGGTACAACTATAAAGCCTCATTTTCACTGAGCCTCTGCTTGCTTTTTTTTCTGCACAATCATGTAATCCTCTGTGTTCGGTCTTTGAGTACTACATGTGTATTTTTCAGACAATTAGTTTCGAGCAATAAAGTTTGATATTATAAAATGTGCCAGTGTGATCAGTATTATGATAGTGTAAGCATATCTAGAGAAAGGAGCTCTGATTCTTCCAGTCCTCTAGGTATTTTTAAAGAGAAGTTAGATCAGTGCAGCCTAGTTGATTATGGAAATACTGAATGACTTTTTTAGGGAGGAATTGAATGTTTACATGGTTAAACACTTAGAATGAAAATAAGTTACCTTTTTTTTTAAATTGGGATTTGTATTTTTACTTAAACTGTGGCAAGGCTGGAAATGTTACAACCCGAAGTGCTGGCTTTGGTACGTGTCGGGTGCAGGTACCAAACAGTGCAAAGGTGTGGTATCAGCAAAGCCATGGGCTGTAGTAGGATTCTTTTCTTGTTGTTAGGCCATATTAAATGTGTATTAGAAGTAAGCTGAGATTGCAGGTGGTCACTCCTTCCAGCTGTGCTGCTGTCTGTTCTGTAGTGGGGATCACAGTCCATTCATGGCAGCTGCTGAGCCTCTGGCTGCAGGAGTCCTGACTGGAGAGCAGCTCGTGGAACTGAGCCAGCTTGGTGTTCACCCCCAGCAGATGCACTGGCAGTGCAGTGTAAGGTGCTGGTGTTGGTACAGTTCAGTTCTGGCCGTTTTCAGTGGTGAGGGCCTGCCTTGAGCAAAGTCATCTCAGCCTTAGCTGTGTGCTGTAGGAAACTTACAGTGATGCTACAGTCTGAGAGTAAGACTGACTTCAACTGTGAAAAGTGTAGCATTTTTATTAGACAGAGTTTATTACTTCCTAATAAAGATTTAGCAAGTAAATTATTTTTGAAAGGGTTAATCTTAACTTGCATACTAAAAAAACATGGCACAGTTTTGACAGGGGGCAGAGCATGATGCAGTACTGACAGGTAGGTCCAGGTCCCTTAGCAAGATCCCAGTACAGGTCCCTGTAGGTCCAGGTCCCTGCACCTGCTCTGGGAATTGGGGGTGTCTCTATATAAATACATGAATGTATCTAGGCAGGAAAAGCAGGATTTGGGCTAATCCTGTGTAAGGTCCTGTCCCTGGAGTCTTCAAGACCAGGTTGGATGGGGCTCTGTGCAACCTGGTTGAGTGGAAGGTGTCCCTGTTCATGGCTAAGGGCTGGTTATGAGATGATCATTAAGATCCCTTCCAACACAAACCCTTCTGGGAACAGATGATAATGAAACTTAATTCAAATTAGGATGATGAAATAAGTTGGAAGCCTTGCAATTACTCTGTTGTGCAGCGATTTATTACCTGGATGTTACAGAAGGGATGTTACCCATGCAGTTAAAAAGCAAAAGCAGTCTCTGCCAAGTCTCTCAGGAGCTGGGGTGAGCCCTCTCTTGGACTGCAGTTCCCGTGGCAGCAGCTGCCTGGCTGCCCTCGCTGGCCGCTGGGCTGGTGCCGTCCGTGCCCTGGGTGCCGCAGGCTGCTGCTGGGACCCCGCTGGCAGCAGCTGCTGCTGCAGAGCTGCCATTGGCGTATTCCACCCTCTCAAAGAAGATCAGTAACTCACAGTGCCTGGTCTGAGGGAACAGATCCACAGCCATGGCTCTCACGGGCCGGAAGGAGGCTCCTTTCACCCTGTTGGAAGGGGCCCGGCACAGGCTTGATGGGGAAGGGAAAGCAGAGCAGGAAGAAATGAATTAGTGTGTTAGTACAGTGCTCATCCCTGCTGCTCTTCTCAGAGGTTTTTCTTCCCCAAGCCTCAATTCCATGATTGATAGGCTTATTCACTACCCTCAACATTTCTATTATGACTTGTGTATTGGGCAATACCATTCCAAGCCAGCTGCTGCAGCTCCCAGCTGTTTCTGGTGAAGCCTCAAGGAACACGGCTTGCAAATAAAAATCCAGCAACCTCCTCAAAAAACATATTTCCACATTTAGTAAGTCAGCTTAGTGCAAGAAACACTCACTCCACAAAGTTATTCATTGCAGCTCTAGGATTGCAGGAGACATAGATGAGCTTCTTCAGATGTTCAGCTCTTCTCAGGGCAAGAATTACTTTGGAATCTAGATGATCAAAACCACAACAGCTGTTTACTGGTTCTGTGTGCAGCAAGAGCCTCACAGAAAAATGCCAGGTTATACTCAGCATGAACAAAACTGCTGCAGTGTTGCTCCAAGCTATACCTGAAGGCTCCACTTAATTTATCCCAGTAGTGTTTTCTTTGGCTTCCCACCCAACCAACACCCATTAAGAGAACAGACTTAAACCCTGGTGAACTTACGCAGCCCTGCTCGCGGTGGATCTACAATGGTGATCAGGTTCTGAGGAGCTAAAACATTCATCAGGGAAGGAACAATATCTTCTGCCTTCCCACAATAAAATTCAATATTATTCAGTTCTGTAAGAAAAAGAAAAGATGGTATCAGTGTACGTGTCTAGTCAAAGCAGCTTTCAGTTTTTACCTTGGATATTAAGTTGTGATGCCTCAGAAACTCCAAATTGTTTAGTCTACCCTGGAATCAGTGTAATTTAAACAATGACTGTTCACTTCAGACTACTCAAACAGTAATCTGAGCATCTTCCACTACCTGGACTAAAGCAAAAGCCCACAAACACCAGCTCTGTTCATGTTTTCTTTAGGAGGGTAGCTGTGGTTTCATCTCACTTTTACACTGAAATAAATGTTTTGCTTTTCAATTGAAAAAAAAAAAAAAAAGCTGTTCCACTGGAAAATTGATCTCATGGGCTAACAAGGTGTTTGTTTTCAAGAGTGATTAAGTGTTTAAATGGGACAAGATCATTATCAACAACATGTAATTCCAGGCTGCTTAGATAAGGTAAAGAACAACTGGCTGCAACTACTCCTTAACAAACAAAGGCTTCAGCATTCCAGCTTAACTCACCATTCATCTGGGCATTTGCTTTGGCGTCCTGCACAGCTTCCTGACAGAGCTCAATTCCAATTACCTTCTTCACTCTCTGTAGAATCAAAGGAAAAGGTTTCCCCTGTGGTCTGTATGTGTGAGTTTAACCATTTTTCATAGCATCAGCAATTAACAGTGACTTTGATCCTACCTAGGCTGCTCAACATAAGGCTGAGCTTTCATAATGATGCGGTAAAGCAGCTGCAGGCAGCTCAATTACAAATTAATTCAAAAAATTAAGATATAATCTGTTGCATTTCACATACATTCCCTTCTAGCCACAGTTAAAAACGGGTAAAAAGTAACTTCTATCCAGGAAGAGAAACTGCCAACCTTTGCTAAAGAAATGCCAATGGTTCCTGTCCCACAGCAGATGTCCAGCACGGTGCTCTCCTGGCTCAGCTGTGCCCACTCCCCAATGGCAGTGTACAGCACTTCTGCAGCTTGTGTGTTCACCTGGGAAATTAAGTTTCCAATAGAGCTACTTCTTCATAAACAGTAAATATGTTTTAATGAGTCTTAGTAAAGCATGTTTTCTTGTTTCTAATAAACAAATCATTATATATTAAAAACACATTTTAAAGTGTTGAAAGGGCAGAAATAGGTTTTGGAAAAGCAAACAAAGATTAGTAATACAAGACTCTTGAACTGTATTATTTCATGTTCAGTGTTGCAAAAGGCTGCCATGAAACAGGAGGAAAATTATAATGAAATAGTAAATAGAAAAATGTGTCTTCACTGTGCTCCCATCAAGCTTAGAGTCATTCACTGCTTTTACAGCCAAACATAACACTTACTGCTATTTAATCACACCAAATATATAAAAGGTTAAATTTCTAGGTAACATCTTGTTCCACAACATTAGTCAAGCTCCAGAGCATTCATACAGATCCAGTTAAACGAGCAGCTTCACATCATCCTTACTTGAAAAAATGCATGAGGAGAAATTCTGAATTTTAGGCCAAGGAGTTCTTCATATATGTACTTATCACCAGCCACATGCTCCAAAGGCAAGTCTTCTAGATTGGGAGATTTCCTGAGGGTAGGGGAGGAATGGGGAGACAAAATAGAGAGGGAATCAAAACCAAAAAAGAAGAAAAACACGTTTGCTATAATCTTTACCAAAGCTGTAATCATCCTAAAGACTGTAGAGCTACATCCTAAGCAGTACCATTTATCATCTGCTCTTGGACACTCTCCTTGGCCATTCATGTCTCAGTGTGCAAGGACCTCCACCATCTCTAGATGAAGAGGATGGGGAAGATTGAAAAATTCACATGAATAGGGAAGAGGGGCAGAAGTTACTTGATAAACACAAACATTCATCTACTGCAGTAAACACTTCTATATCTTGACAGCCAGCAATGGCCAGTGGGTTCACCCACTGAAACTCTTGCTGCCTTTATCCAGAGAATGGGAAATTTCAGGAGTCTCTGGTGGCAAGGGTGAGTAACTTAAATTAGTAACAACTGCCACTACTTCTATGAAGCAGACAAACAATGCTGTGAGATTTGCAAACACCAAAAATCCAGACACCACCAAAATCCCCCAAAGCAAAGTCAACCCTCTCACCTCTGTCCTTCCTCTACAAAGTACAGGGAAGTAACACCACTGCTCTTTCCCATCCCTTCTGTGAAGTATTTTGCCAGAGAAGTTTTCAGGTCAGCTAGCTCTTCTTTACTCAATTTCTAAAGTTTTCATATGAATGAAGGGAGAATAATCATTTTAGTGACTTCAAGATATGATTTAGTGCATGCTTTACATAAGAATATTGTTCATTTCCATGTATCAGGTGAGTCTAAATAGAATTAGAGCAGTGAAGCAAGTTAAACCACACCAAGTAATTCTTCTATTTCTGTTTTGCATGCACAATTCACACAATCAAATGTAAGCAGTCCTAAAGCTGAGCCTGGGCTGCCCATTGCCTATCAAGTGCAATACCTGAGGATTGAAGTAAGCAATTGCCATGACGTGGCCGCGGCGGCTGGTGCGGACCGTGAGCTGCTTCCAGTGCCCTTCGTAGGTCTCGGGGCTGTACACCGAGAACGGAGCTGACCTGCAACGGGCACGAGCCTGGTTACTTACACAGAATTCCCTTTGTGTGCAACATTAAAGTTTATGGAATCAGAGTGATGGCCAAAATGCTGAGTACAAAAAGAGGGTACATTCACGTGTCAAACAAAGAATGAGCTCCAGCTAAGAAAGACTGATGGACAGTGTCTCCCCAAGCAAAACAACCTGTCCCTCCTTCACACCATCCTCTTGCCCGTTTTAACCTGTGCAAAATTAGAGGCACGAGGCAGCTCTCACTGCATTCAGAGAATGACATAACTCTTTATAATGCTTTCATTGGCTTCTCTGCTTCACAGCAAGTTCAAATCTTCCACCTTCATGATTCTTCTGAGGTTTCTATTTTTGTGCATTTAACTGCTTTTTAAAGAATGCATCCTTTTTTCTAAAAAAGTAGTCTTGCTTAAATGTGCAACTTTTGGTTTATTCCTTTCTGTAGGATGATTCTTCTCATCCAAGAAAACAATGGACCTTGGTTAATTAATTCCTCCTTTCAAAGTGTTTTTCTGAGTGCCTCTTTCCAGTTAGAGGAAGAAGCTCCTGAGTAACACACTTTCTAGTGCAGACTTACACTCCCTTTGCTTGCAATGAAGCTGTGTTCAGCTGCTATCTCTGAGCAGCTGAGCAGGAGCAAGGGCAAAGCTCCCCTTGATGCAGGCACAAGGCAGAAACAATCACTCAAATGTGAGACTGCTATATCTTAGATCTCAAAGCTCAGAACAAACACTCATTAAATTTATAAATATTTTTGATTAAGATATCAAAACCTTTACAGAGAACTCATTTTACTTATGCTCACCTTATGTAGTCTTGGAAAGCTTTTACTACTTTTTTGGCAATAGCAGGAATGTGAACAGTATCAAATGGCTCCACTACAGCACATGTACCACCCTTATATTTGCCAAGACGACAACCCACAGTTTTGTCTTCTTGATTTACACCAATCCCAATCAAGAACTCACATTTGTTGCGATATTCAGTCTAGATTTAAAATAAAGTTATGTAAGATATTTACACAGCATTTATTTGTACATGCCAAGTTTCTCCTGAAAAAAATCCCACGTGGTTAAACGCATTTGAAAATGGACAGGGGACATTTAGCTCATACGGACAACACTGATGGGTTTTGATGTGTGTGAACTAACAGTAATAATGAAAAGGTATTAGTAAATCTTGTCATTTAAAAAGCAAAATATTGCCTCTGTTGAGGAACATGTTAGCTCACAACACAGGCTTGCAAAGACAGCATATTCATTTTAAAGTTATAATATCCAGTTCTCAATTTTCCTGCTTCCTGTTAATATTTTCACACAGTATTTACATGAAATACAACAACATCTAAAACTGATCATTTATTACAAGACAAAGTTGAATACTCAGTTTGTCCACTGTCTTCTCAAGGCCAAATAATGAACATAACCCTCAGCTCATTAACCCTGTTCCACACTTTACCTGAGGTTACGTTACCTGCAAGGGTGATGCTTTCACTCCCTCCACTGGGCAACATAATTTATTAAACTTCTGCTTCTGCAGGAACAACCAGGGTAATAAAGCTCTGTTGTTATTTCCTATTTCCCTGCCCAAATCAGAAACAAAAATGTAAAGCACACATTTAGAAAAATTGAGGTCAAGAGTTGCACAAGACTTCTTTTTTGTGTAGGGCACAAAAAAGAACCAGATTATCACATGGAAGACTGTTTCTTCCAGATTTCTTTAACGGGCCAACCCCCTCCAACTTCCTAAGAGCTGTAACCTGAAAAAGTAAGGGTTAAATGTACTGGTTACATTATGGTTATGTACTGGAGTTATCAACGTACCCATGCACCATAATGCCAGTTTTGTGGACAGCAAGAGACAGAAGTGATACTTTGATCTTCAAAGACCAAGCATAAAATTTTGAGGGGATTTTAAAAGAGAAAATCCTCGTAGTAATTTGCCATCTCTGCAGACTGATTGTCTCTTACACCATGTGACAGTACCATTTCTTTTACGGGCACAAACATCCTTCTGCTTATGGAACAACAGACTTTCAAACCAATTCCCCTTCACTAAGCAATCTTTTGAAGGTGACCAAGAACATCAATAGCAAGTTTTGTCAGATGGAACAGCTTTTAAGCTGTAGCATCGCAGATTATCTTGTAATTAATTACTTTGCCGGGGGATCCGAGTTTTGACCTACCTCTAACTCACTTCAGTTTAGAGGTATCAACTGGTGTGAATTTAGCTATATCCCATCATAAGGCCAAGTCTTGTACACATTACGTTACAAACAGGAATTACTTTGTCAGCTTCTGCAGCACTTGCTCGCACTCCTGCTTCTTCTGGGCCAGCTGCGCCTCGTAGGGCACGTTCCACAGCGGGGTCACCACATCCGCGATCCGCTTGCTCAGAGGCTCCTCTCCGCAGGGAGCCGGACGCTTCGCCTCTCCCTGCTCCGAATCCTCTTCTTGCTTCCTCTTCTTGGCGATGGGGTCAGCCTTGGGCTTGGCCAGGCGCACGCTGAGGTGGCGGCTCTTCCAGAGCGCGCCGTGCAGCACCCGCATGGCCTTGTCCCGCTCCTCCTCGCTCTTGAACGTCACGAAGGCGAACGTCTGCTTCCCGAAGAGCTTTATCTTGTGAGGGTTGAGCCCGTACTTGGCAAGGAACTTTTTCACATCGTTAAACCCAATGTATTTGGGCAAGTTCTGTATCTCTACTTTATAAATCTCGGAGGTGAACAAGTCTCCCTTAATGTATCTGTAGACGTCGGGGCTCTCCGCGGGGTCTTCCCCGGCCTGGCCGTCCGGCTCAGCCCCATCTGCAGCCTCCGCCACAGGAGCCGTGTCGCGGTCGGGGTCGCAGCGCTCGCCTTCCTCCGCCATGGTCCCGCCACCCCCTCAGCCACCCCGCGCACCTCCCGGGGCGGGGCCGTAGCCTCACGGCCGGGCCGCTGCGATGAGAATGACGGCAGAGGAACGATCTGGTTGTTTTTTAAGCGCTGCCCCTCAGCGCTGTCGCTCCTCGCGCCCCAGAGCACCCGCGGCCCTTAAACACATTAAAAACAGCAGCTCGCACATCACCCCCTCCCTCACGCGGGCGCCATCTTGGGCCGGGACGCAGGCGGTCGCCGCCATGGCGCGGGGGGTGATGGGAAAGGCGCCTGGGAAACGGGACGACAAAAACGCTTCTCGGGGGGCGGAGGGGCCGCGCCGGCGGTCGGTACCGGGGGTCGGTGACAGGGCCGGTGTCGGGGCCGGTTCCGAGGACCCATGGGGGGATCGGTGTGACGGGGCCGGGGCGGGCGGTGCTCTGCCCGCGCCGGGGGCGGGGCGCGGGGCTGAGGGGGAGCGGGCGTTTCCCATCGAGCCTTGCGGCGGCGCGGCGCGGGCTGCGGGAATGAGGTAAAGGCGGGCGGGGCGCGCGGCAGGAAGCGGCGAGCGGAGCGCGGCGACCGGGCCCATGGCGGACACGGCGGTGAGGGGCGGCCGCGGGCCGGCGGCCGGGTCGGGAACAGCGCGGGGGAGAGGGCGGCACCGAGGGCCGGGGTGGGAGAGTAACGGAAACAGGTGGGGCCCGGGCGGGGGGAGCCGAGGTCGGGCAGGGCCCGAGGGGGGGGGGACGGACGCTGGGCCTTGCTGGGGGCTGGAGGGGCCGCGCCCGCTGGGCCTGGGGTTTGCGGCCGCTCCGGGCACGTGTGGCCGCTCGGGCCGGCCCCTCCACCCGCCTTGGCCGTTCCCCGGTGTGAGGGAGCCCGGGCGAGCCGGGATCTTTCGGGTAGTCCTTCTCCCCGTTTCCCTCCTTTCTTCTCCTCCTCCTCCCTCTTTCCGCCCCTCCCCGGGCCGCTGGCCGGACCCCTCGTGCCGCACCAGTTGCTCACGTGCTTCGTGTCGCGGCAGGGCGGGCTCGTGTCGTGATAACGGGATCCGCGTTCTGGCCTGTGGCTGCTGGGAAGTGTGCGTTCTCATGGTCTGGAATTGCTTGCTCAGGCGCAGAACGCGCGATGAATTGCCATGCGGGATGTGCTCTTGCACGCATGGATACAATGTATAAAAGTTTGGCTAACATTTCTCTTTTTTTGAAACAGATGGGACGTAATTAATTTCTCGCTTTTTTTTGCTGGAACACTGGGGATATAAAATTGGCGATAGCTGGTGTGACGTTGTTGTTACAACGAGATTTTATTTTGCGCCATTTTTTACCTAATTTTTACCTGTCCCCCCCTCTTTTTTCTCTTGTTTAGTAAAAACAGGTTGCTTTATTTCTGTTGCTATATGTGCACATGGTATATCCTGCTCTGTATAGGACATTGTGAATAGAGCCTGTAAGAGTGGACTCTTCCATTTGTAAAGTAAAAATATTATTTAAATGTCTTGTATGTGTAGACTGTTTTCCCTTTCTGTTGCTCCAGCAGCAACAAAAAAACCCCAAACCCAAATCAGTTCCCTCGACCTGAGATAGCTGCTCTGTGGCTTTGTTAAAATTGCATATGAATCTCCTTCCTAGGCTTGTGTGCTGAGTCCTTCTTAGCAGTCCATATGTATGAAGTACTAGAGATGTTTATCATTTACCTGCTAGTCATGGTAGTAAAAACTATTCTTAAGCTTAATGACTGCTCTGATAGATTCCTAAACAATTTAAATAGGAAGTATTATTTTGGCCATTTACCTGTAACCTAAAGTTCCTTGAGGAGTTTTAAAGCAAGTAACCTAAACTATTTTATGAGTATTACAGCTGTGCCTCAAAGTATCTTTGATTGTGTTGACTGTGGGTGATTCTAATACATAATCCAGAATGATGAACTCGAGATGCCATATGTCCCTTAAGCTGGGCTGGGTGGATGTTGTGTGGGTTTTTTTCTAATTTTCCCATTAATGATGGGTCTTTAGGCACTGAGAAATAGTAGGATTTTAGTAGCATAAAACACATTACATAGGAAAAACTGTTGATGAAATTACATTTCCATAATGTAGAGCTATTACTCCAAGGCCAAACCTCTAGACAATTAATGAGTGGTAGGATTGAAACACCCAGCACTGTATGAGCACCTTTTTGGTTTTTTGTGCCTGTATGTTGACCTGGAAGTCATTTGTTTTCAGGTATAATCATATTTCTTTTATGGGGTATTACAGATATTAAGATCTAATTGCTGAAAAGTCATCACTGTTTTGAAAGCAGATGTGAGTACTTCAGGGTTGGGGTATATAGCATGTTTGTGTTTTATTTTTTCTCCTCAGGAAGCACATGAGGAGCATGATACTTCTACTGAAAATGCAGATGACTCTAACCACGATCCTCAGTTTGAACCCATAGTTTCCCTTCCAGAGCAAGAAATAAAAACTCTGGAAGAAGATGAGGAAGAGCTCTTTAAGATGTGAGTAGAATACTTTTCACTATTATCTGAATGTTCATTAGGCTTAAACTTGACAGTGTTCATTAAAAGCTGCATAACTTGCAGCAATCTCTGTATGAAGGCTGACTTGGTTGGTCTGCACTGTGATGGCAGAGACTGAGTGGGGGTGATTGATGGTGCCCCAAGAAAATGAACTCTGGAACCACAGAAGAGAGCTGATAGTGTGAATCTGGCTTTAGCATGGTGTACGTAAAAGAAGACAACAACTTAAGTAATAATTATTTGAAATTGTGATCACAGAATGTGAAACAAGTGTCTTGGGAGGAAGGAAATGAGATGTGTGTGGTGTTGCTGCCATGCATCCATGGGTAAAGGGTGATGTACAAGGTACTGAAATAATAAAAGCAACAGCTGCAGCACAGTATTGGGGCATTTTGGCAGTTCCTGTCTGTTGTCTTCAATACAGTTTATCCTCAGATTATGCTTATTGTCAGATCAGGATGGCTTGATCTGCCTGAAGAAAAATGTAGTCTAAAGGCTTAAGAAGCATTTTGAATTTGATCCCTGATGTGCTGGCTTGAAATAGGTTTAAAAAATTATGCTTTTGCTTAATCACAGAATGGTATTGCTGATCTGGAAGAGACTTCAGTTCTCCTGTCCAGATTCTGATAATAACTGAAGTGATGACAGGTAGTTTCTGAAAGGTAGTGTGGTGAACTCTGGCTGTAGCAAAACCTCTTAATTGGCTACCTGTATTTAAAGGTTTGCCTACATCAAATATGTTTATCATCCCTAAGAGTGTCCAGAACCTGTTGAATTTCAGTACAGTCATTACATAATTCCTATTATTTTATTATTAGATTTTAATTTATCATCTCGGTTTCTGAATGCATATATTGAGACAGAACAGTGGATCATATTGAACAAATTGTTCCTTTTTGTGTGTGGCTTTTATAAGAGCTGCACTCTTTGGTCAGGTGTGGTATTCAATGCATGCAGGCTAATGAAATGTTCTGTTCTCCAAGGCGAGCGAAGCTCTTCCGGTTTGCATCTGAGAATGACCTTCCAGAATGGAAAGAACGAGGAACTGGTGATGTGAAACTCCTGAAGCACAAGGAGAAGGGAACAATTCGCCTCCTCATGAGGAGGGATAAAACCCTAAAAATCTGTGCGAACCATTACAGTATGTTCTACATTTCTGTACTTATTCTTGATTTTAAAAATAAGCTTGTAGAATTTAAGTATGGTTGTTTCTTACTCTTCATGCTTCAGGCATCAAAAATTATGAGGAGTTATTTTTATTAATGGAAGGAAGCTGGACGTTTTTTCTTTAAGAGTCTGATAGTGCTATAAGGCTAGCACAAGTCATTTTAAAATTTAGCTGTGATAGGCATTATGTGATTGCTTCCAGTGTGTGTGCTTTATTTTAATGATTAATAAAGTGTAGAACATGTAGGCCTTAATACTGCTTGAAATAAGAATTTAATGTATGCTGGCTTGCTCTTGTAAAAGAGTGAGAAAAACCAAGATGTAATAATTTACTACTTTGAGCTAAATGTCTGAATTTCCAAAACCAGTCCTTAACCATCAGAAAACAGAGACTGAGGTGCTAAGCAAATCTGAGTCTGCCTTTCTCTGCTTGTGAAATAAACTGAAATGAATGTGTTATATTGGGCTGACTCATTCAAAAAAGAATAATCTTTGAATTAAAAAAAAACCATGAAAGAGACAGGCTTGCAAGTCAGCACAACTTGCAACAAGTAGTCCAGTTTGCTGATACTTTGCTTGCTTTACTGATACTCGGATTTTTACATGAGGAATCTATAGTGTTCTGTGGAGTTAAACTACATTTAGATAATTTGAAATAAGAAGTAGCTTAATGCAAACCTCAATAATGCCATCAACCAGCAGGAATAAACCTTTTGTTTAGGGAAATAAATGTTGCACCTAGGAAAACAGAATTGATGAATTTATAGTAATCATGTCAAAAGTTGTTTAGGTTTTTTTCCTGGAAAAGCTGCTCTCCATATAGATTTGTTTATTGAATTTATGCTGACTCACAGTCAGACAAAAGAACTCTCTTCATTTTTGCAAAGCATTAAATGGAGCAAAATGTGTTTTGATCTCTAGATGTTAAAAATGCAGGGAAGGGAATAGACTCTTCAGATTTCTCCTGAACTTAGACAGGGCCCAAGGAGGAAAAAACCCCTGCTTAGACTTTGCATGTCTGTAATGCAAAAAGTCTTCAGGTACTGTGGGAAGTAGCATTTCAAATTCTGCAGTCAGGTGAGGTAATTGTAGTGTCTTGGAGGGACAGGGCCCCATTTGCGAGGAGGGAACAAATAGATTGGAAAAACAAAAACAATGTGTACGCTTTGCAGCACCACAGAATTCTGTAATATCTTGTAGTACAGCTTTAAACTGATGGGAGAGGTAATTAATCTGATGACTAATTGAAGGAAAAGTGCTTTTTAAAATTAATTTTGGTGGTAGTTTTGGTGTGCAGAAGAAGAATGAGTGTTGTTTGTCGGTCTGGATGCCTTTTCCTTCTAAATCATTTGTCTGTACTTCAGAGCTCAGTAACTGCATCTCTTAGTATCACAATCATCTGTTTTAAGCAAAAATTGAATCCAATTCTTTTTCCTAACAGTAGTGAATCCAGCATCCTCTCACACAGTAATGGCTTTGCATAATTTCATTTGACAATGTAAGGAAAAATATATATGAACACCACTGTCTTGTATTCATGCCAGAGTAATTCTGTGTCAAGTGCTTTATGTAACCATCACAGCCCGTTTTCACTGAGATTTATGGAGGCTGGTGTGGAAAACATTTGCTATTGTGCTCTGTACATCTTTGAATGCTTTCCTTTCAGTCACACCCTTAATGGAGCTGAAGCCTAACGCTGGGAGCGACAGGGCGTGGGTCTGGAACACACATGCTGACTTTGCAGATGAAAGCCCCAAGCCTGAACTTCTGGCAATCCGATTTCTAAACGCAGAGAGTGAGTGGGCTGGCACTGAACTTACACTCATTGTAAACTGTTATGTTACCCTGCTTGGCTAAATGCTGCTCTAAACCATTGCTGGAGATGTGCTGTATCTCACCCCTGCGTGGTAGTGTTAGCTAATTAATTCTTTATCTGAGAGAAGTCTGTTAATCACTTAACCATATCTGTTGACAGACAGTGTAGTAATTAGGTCTGCAGTAATATTGGTACAGTTTCTGCCCGAGACACTTTGTTAACCTAAGCCCTTTCATGTAAGTGCTATGCCAATTAGAATAAAACTATAGGCAGTTAAGAGACTCACATACAGCTTACTTTCATGTAATTCAGGTGCTCATTTGTAGTTAAGATTAGATTTTTGCATTAGAAACAAGGAAATCCTGACCTGACATTTCTGGTCAGTCTGCATTAGCAGAACATCTGGGTTGGTTTTTCTTTTTTTAATGAAGTATGTAGTATCTTTGTTTTGATTAAATGCAACCCTCAGTGAAAAGTGCAAGTCAGACCCATCATACTAGTTGGTGGGTTTTTCTGGAGTGACTACACTGAGTACCAGAAAGTAACTCTTAATAATGGATCAGCTAGGATTAAATCAAAGAAGTGTTTGGAAGCAGAGGGGGTTTATGTTTTGTTTTTTTGTTGGTTTGGGTTTGTTTTTTTTTTAAAGGAGCAAAATGAAAAAGTGTTGGATTTCTTGCTTTACAATTTGCCACACAAGTTTAGTGTGGTAGCCTCCTTTTCTCCTTACATATTAGATGAAATATAAAGTGGTTGAATATTTTAAAAATTGATGGATTTAACTATATCAGGAAAGAACTTAGTGTATCTTGCCTTTTTCCTTTGCCTTAAGTCTCCAATGTCATTTTGTTTAGCCAAATAAACCTTTCTGGTCCACCTGCTTAGTGCTTGCTTCATGATCAGGTAGGAAATGAAGGGGTAACTATTTGCTAATCTCTGAGAAGTCTTTCCCTCTTTCCGGTAGAGGCTGTTCAGCTTATGGAATGTTCTGTCTTGAGGGAGTAGTCCTTTCTTACTGTTTGCCCTTTGCAGTACTGACTAAGCAGATGACAGGTTAAGAGACCTCAGTTTGTCCCTCAGGTGTCTCTCCTGTTTGAGATGCTGGAGAAGGAATCGATACAAACACTTCCTGGCCTAGTTACTAAGTGCCTTCAGAATTCCTGTGGGGCAACAGTGACCTCCTGTGGTCAGCCAGACCAGCCTGGGATGCCAGGCCTGTACTGCCTTGGTCATTCTCGTGGCAGGAAGCTCCTTGCCCAGTCCCTCATTGCTTGTATTACTTGTGTAGAGACGTTATTGGAATTTGATCAGCTGCGTGGAATGGTTGTTGCATTGAATGGTGGCTTAGACCAGAATGTAATGAAGATTATGCATTGTTGGCTCTTGCAGGGAGGAATAGCCCTCAGGTACAGAGTCTGAATGCTGTATTGGTGAAACAGGCATTACCTTCCTTTGCTGATGCTAAGAACCCCCAGTTATGGTCAGGTTGTGGAAGACTCTTCAGGTGTAACACAGCTGGCAAGGATGGCAGTTCAAAGCTGATCTTCAGTCTTTTGCATACAGATAGTTATGTTAGCAGTCTCTGACGTCATATTCCTATTCCTTTAGGCTACAGACAGCTGGGAGTTGCAATAACTACAAAACAGTTCCTGCTGGCATTACATTTTGAATATTTTGCAAAATAAACTGCTTTAGTAGACTTGCTGAAGAAGATGAATTGCTTTTGCACAAAGATGTGATTGAAGAATTTTGTATCTCGTATGATTTACCAGATTACTTCATAAGTCCCTACAAATTTTATTTACACAAAGCTTCCCCTGGGGTATCTTTCTTCAAGATTAGAACTATTCAATGTTGTGAGGCAGTAAAAGTAATGAAAAAATATTTTATCTTCACTGAAACAGATGCACAGAAATTCAAGGCAAAATTTGAAGAATGCAGGAATGAAGTAGGCAAGACAGCAAAGAAAGGTAAGGTAGTCTGAGTGTATTTGTGCCACATTTCTGAGCTGTGTGAGTGGTTACAGTACCCTGGAGTGTCGTGTTCCAGCAGACTCACTCTGTGCTGAACTGCAGCCTTCAGTTCAGGTGCTTTTCTGTCTGCGAGAGTAAGAGCTCACAGGAGCGACGATGGCCTTCTTTCCTGTGGAAGGCTGTTACAGTTGCTGTTGGGACATGGCTGCTTTGGAAAGGCTGTCAAGGAAATATTTATGGCTTATAGTAAACAAATGAGCTGTGAACACTGCAATCACAGTGCTCTTTCTTCCTTCTGGGTCCCTTTCCCAAATTTCACAAATGTGTAATCATGCAAGTATAATATTTAATGGTTTTTGTAGTTGTTAGTGTGTGTGAGGTTGTTCACAAGTCTCTAACAGATTATTGCACCTCCCTTTAGAATTGCCTTTGTGATGAGGTATGTCACCATGTAAATAAAATAAACATTTCTATCTTTCTTAAGTACAGACTACCAGTGGTCTGCAGTCAGCATTCAAGATATTTAGATTGGAATTTTCCAGTCATAGGAATTCCTATGCCCCATTTTCAAACTGGGGAACTTGACTTTGGTTTTTTTTTTGTTAAGATGCCAAGAAACTAAGGGTTTGTCTGGATACTTTATTGGTAGCAGCACAGCCAGCCAGATGTTACACATTCCTCAGTCCCTGTGATTAAGCCCTTTTGTAGTGATTAATGTATATGAGTGGTGTCTCTTGAAATCTGACATCTGAAGTAATTACCAGAGGAAAAGACATGGAATGAGTCACTCCAGTGGTCAGTGAAGAATATTTTTGCCCAATACCAGCTGTCTATCCCCACCCCCTCACCCTCTACTTCTTTACTCTTTCTAACAGGAAAATCAATTACTGCTTGTATGTAATACCTTTCCTAACCAATCTTTTAGCAGGCACAGACAAAAATGATAGTGCTGATAAAGTTGCTGAAAAACTAGAAGAGCTTTCTGTAAAGGAAGAGAGCAAAGAATCTGAGAAGAAAGAGACCAAGGAAAAAACTGAAGAAAAGCAATAAAATCATCCTGGGCCTTGCAGTTTTTCCTTTACTTTTTTTCTTTTTTTCTTTTCCTTTTTTTTGTTTGGTTATTTTTTAGTTTTTACAAGGGACTTTATATGGAACTGCATTCAACATTCACGTTGTTTTTTCTAGGCTTTTGCCCTTTGGAAGGTGTCTTCAGAAAAATTCATTCCCCAGTCATGAAAATGTACTGTGCTAACTTTCTTTTCCATAGTGGAAACACTTATTTACAGTCATCCAAAAGAGTGAATAAAACAAACTTGAAAACAGCATCAGGGGACAGAACTGAGTTTTCTGTATACTGTAAAGGCTTATGAATACACTTGTTTAATTGAGCTGCATATTCCTGTGGATTAAGTAGGTTAATAGACTTTGTCAGCAGGGAAGATTAGGATTGCATTTGTATTTCTTATATGGCTTCTAAATTGTAATCTAACAGACCTTTCACACCTGCTGCTGTGTGTACCTGAGCAGGGAATGTGCCTGTGCTTCTTGAAGTGCAGCAGATTTCTGGAATCAGGCAATAAGAGCATTCCTGGCAAACTACTGCTGCTGCTGCTGATCCATCAGACAGTGAAAATAAAGGTGGGGGACAAAGTTTCTTGTGTCAGATTTGAGAAGCATTTTCTTCTCACAAAATGAAATCTGTGCTTCCCCTCTTGCCCCAAATTTTAATATTACAAAGGCTTGATTTTAGCAGAAAGCTCCTGCTGTTGTCCCAGATCTTCCATGGTGCTGCTTGCTGACTGAAGGCAGCTGCAGCAGCCTGTCCTGCCGAGGTGTGTGCAAAGGAATCTGAGCTGTTTGAGTACCTTCCTGTGAGATTCCCCTTGCCAGCATGTTGTTGTAGTCTCAAGAATGTAGAGGTCTAAAATGTGTAAGCTTTTTTCCCAGGGCTTTGGAGCTCGTGTTTTTACAAACTGGAGGAGTTTTGAACTTCTCAGATGTTTGGTAGGGAGGCTGTCCTTCTTGGAGAGTAGCAGGCTGGAATTCACAATTCACTTTGGAGCAGTTATTTATGGTGCACATGCTTGAGGGACACCCTCCTTGCCAGAATGGGCAAATTGGTCAAATCTCTTCCCTGCATATCTTTTTTGTTCATCCAATTTCAAATTAGTGCTAGAGAGTAAGAAAATAAGCTATAGTAAGCAATAAAATCAACACAATTTAAGTCTGGTAGATGAATTGAATTTCGTTGTTAAACACTAATACAAGGATTGTGTTAGGAATAAAGATGAAATTTTATAATAGTTTCCAAAATAATTATGAAAACTGGACAAAACTTGCTAAACTGTAAGACTGAATGATGTTAACATGGGATAGCAAGACCTTTTTGGTCTTCATAAAGAGGCTTTTCACTCAGTCAGGTTCTGCAGTCTACCTAAGGAAAATATATTTTTTAAAAATAAATCATGTCTTTCTTCTTAGCACTGCCTTTTGATGCTACAGTGAATGAGTCTTAAATCTGGAAGTGTAATTAAGGTACTCACTTCATTCAAACAAAATAATTCCTTTGGTGTTTTGCACGTTCCCCTTCAACTACAGCAGATATCAAAAGTCTGTTAATTAACAAAGATGGCTGAAAGGCAAAATAAAATGCTCTTTAGTGTTTCTGGTTTGGAAGTAACAAGACAAAGCTATTTTGAAGTATTTAACATTTGAATGTAAAAGCCAAATCTTTTATCCATGAATCACTGTAAATGATCTGATAATGTCAAACTGTGTCTAAATTGATAGAAATTACTTAAAAATTTCAAAATAAACTTAAATTTTCATTTAAAGGATTTGCTTTTTATTTTGAGAACTCTTACTGGGAATGCATTTTAGTCTGCATGGGCAAAGTGATGAAGGCAGCAAAATGGGTGAGTTGCATTTCACTGTCAGACATTGTACAAAAGGGAGGGGGCAGCACCTGAATGCCTTAATTTGTCTTAATATTAGTTATTGATGATTCCTGCTTAATGCTATTACCCTCTCTTCTTCCCCTCTTACTTCAGCATGCTTAAATGACTTCCAGACGTTTCCATTCTTGTTTAGGTGAACTGATCTGTGTTTACAGTTTTGGATTGCAACCATCCTTGCAAGTCTTCAGTCTCAAAGAGCAAAATTAAGAGAGACCACTCAGTAAAATAATTTCTCTGGGTAACATTTGGCTGAAGAATGTTTTAGTCCTGTAAACTAAAGGATGGTCATTCAGTGTTCTGGTCACTTTAGCTGTTCTACACATTAAAAAGCAGTAAGTATTTTTAAAGTTATCTCAGTGAAATAAGGCTTGTTGTTTTGTGCAAGTCATTCTAATGATTTAACTTGCCTGCAGGTAAAGTGGACTGCCAGGTGAAGATTTTTAAAAAGTCCTAATCCATTTTTTATAAAGAAGGAAAATACAGCAGGGTTAATAAAGCATTGTTGGGTGCTAAAGTCCACAATTCATACAAATTTTCTGCTTGCTTCCGGTTTAGAAAGATGCTATATAGCCAGGCTTACTGATCCAGTCTTTGGTGGTATGAATGGTTTTTTGTGCTGAATGGATGAATGTCTGAGGACTCCTCAGTGACAAATTCAACTTAAAAAAATGTGACATTTTGACAAGCGTCAAAATAGTATCTTCTTAACAGCAAGTTGAGGTCTTAAACAAGCCTACTTATTATAGAAAATAATTCAAACTAGTTCCCTCTAGATCCCGTGTTAATTATTTTGAAGACTACATTAATCTGTTGGGGTTTTTTTCTCCAGGAATAAGTTTGTATTAGTAACACTAAATGTCTCATTCACAGATTGTAAACACTCCCAATTTGTTGTTTTAATGCTAAATGTTGATTTTTTTCCCCTCTCTATAATAAGGTAGCTTGTATCAAATACAAGTTCTCAGTGATACCAAAACCTCAGAAAATTAAAATTCTTCTCAACACTATACAGATAGGAGAATGTTGTAAATTCTTAATTTTGAGGCAACATGCTCAAGGAATACCTGTATGTAAAGGGGAAAAATACGAGTCTGAGTAGTTCTTTGGATTGTGTTGCTAACTCTTGTTACCAGGCTGAGTCCTCTGGTGGGTGCTGTGTGTGGCTCACAGTGAGTTGTGCTGAACTCTGATGTCCCTCACCAGTGCTGGGCCTTGTGCTGCTCCATCTCAGAGCACTCCTTCACATAGCTCAGTGAAAAACTTTAATGTTACTGGAAACCTTTCTCTAAAGAAAATACTGAATCGGAGTTCAGAAAATTCAGCTTGACACCTTAGTAATATTAAATTGCACCTATTTATGTAGAAGTGGAGACAATGGTGGAGATTACATTACAAACTGCACTACTGGGTTTTGATCTGTACAAATTGCCATTGGCTTAAAGAGTGGGTGATTATTTAAATAACCCAAACCTCTCCAGTTAACTTCGCATTGCTGTCTTTATTTATGCCCTCCTGTTCCCAGGACACCCATCTGTCCTGGCTGCTCCAGGTTGTTTCTAGCAAGCTGTGTTTTCTGAGGTATCCATGGCAAACCAATGTTTTAATTTTGATTAGCCAAACTAATTTCAAAGTGTTTTTACATTGCTGAGGTCATGTGTAAACTTACACTAGTTCAGTCAAGTGAGCTGTGTATAAAGGATTTTGGTTTATTTTATGATGGTTTATTTAGGATTTACTTTAAAGGTCTTCCTAATTAGATTTAGCTAGAATTACTCTTTAAAATAGAAATAAGAGGAATTACTAGTTTTTTACCAACCTTAACTAAATCTTTGACAATGTATCATTTTCAGAGTAAGGAGCTAAGGAAAATTTAACTGCAACAGATCAGAATTATCATGCTTGAGGAAGGAAAGTTTGAAGTAATGAGCTGAGCTCTAGAGTGGATTCCACATGTAAGTGATTTCTCAGACTCTAGTTTGTGTGAAAACAAGGTGCTTCTCAAGTAAGCAGCTTGTGCAAGTAAGAATAAGGAAATAAATATTGAGGTTGTGAAAACTGACAAGCACAGGAGCAAAAATCTTCCTAGTATGTAAAAGCCGAGTGTGTCTACAGCTATACATCAGATTTTGTGACCACTATATAATATGCAAATTTAGGTATGGAATATCTTTGTCCACTTAAGTCAGTTAGACACCAACCATTGACTTAAGACCTGTTCATGTTTGTAAGACTTGTCAAACTAGTTTGCTGTAGTCTAATGAAAATGCAACCTACATCAGAATAAATTCTATAATAACTAAATTACATTTGTAGAAATAAACTTTTTTTAAGGCATCAATGGTGCAGGTAATGTTTGTGGGGTGTTATTTTCTGTTACAGCAATATAATGTTTTAAGTACAAAGAAGGTTCTAGCACAAATCTGGATTAGATGTTGCATGCAGCAAATTTCTTTTATTTTGTGAAACATGTCTGACTACCACAAGTATTTAATCAACTTTACAGTCTTAAACATGTTTCCAACTTTCAAACTGGGAAAGTCCTGCTCATTGTTTATCAGTCTTTACAAATTTACATCAGTTGATTCACTGTATTGTGAATATGAACTGTTGAACAGATATGAACTGTTGTATCAAGATGTTAACACCTAAGAGAGAAGCTAACAATGTCATGAGCTCTTGCCTATTCATGTTGTGCTGGCTGGCTGGCCTCATTTCAAGTAGTTTAAATTTCATAATTTTATAATTATTTTTTCCATAAAAGCAATTATGGCTACTGTAAACATCAACAAAGATGGATTGGACATTAAAATGACTGAATATTTTGTATGCTTGGAGGATATTTCTCAAGACTATTCTAACAGGTATAATTAAAGTTACATTGCTTCATATGCATAGTGCTTATCAGTTTTAACACCTTGTTTGCTGGTTTGTGAACACTGTTGGCTTGCAGAGTTTCAGCAGCATCATTTACAGTGATATTTCATTTAGGGGAGGAGAATTGCACTTTACTAATGCTTTTAAACAGGATCTTTAAAACTGCTTGGAGGCCTACCTCATTCTGATGTAAGTAGTTTTTTGTGGGGATCATTTAGGAATCGATATGAGAGTTTCTAAAGTCTCATAGTAAATGCAACTTGACATGCCACATCACTGCTGTTGGGAAATACACCAGATCTGTTCTGAGCAAATGCCATCCCACAAAAAATATCTGTTGGAATCATCTAGAAAATCTTGTCATAAATCTTGTCATAAATCTGTTAAGGCTACTGAGAGATCAGTATTAGGCAATAATTTCTTGATTTATCTGGTAAGAAATTAACAATTAAATGAAAATTGTCATATTAAAGTTCCAGTGGGTAACT